CTCTTAAATGAATGATAATTCATATAATTAAGTACATTTTTTAAAGATTGAGACAAAATGAACCAACTCCCTGCTGCCAGGAAACCTGGGCAGAGGGCAGTGGATGTGTTGCATGCCTCATGTGGTGACCTAGAGCTTCCTGTTACAATCAGATAATGTACCCACATGCCCTAAAAATCTAAGTCATTCCGAAAACATTATTTTTCCTGACTTAAAAAGAATGCTCAGGGACATCACTCATCCACACTGTTGTACCACCATCTCCACAATCCATCATGTGCTTACTGACCATTGGTATATCTTCTTTGGAGAAATGTCTACCCAAGTCCTGTGCCTAGTTTTTGTTTGTTTTGTTTTGTTGGTACCAGGGATTGAACCCAGGGGTTCTTAACCACTGAGCTACATCCCCCAGTTCTTTTTGTATTTATTTAGAGACAGGGTCTCACTGAGTTAGTTGCTCAGGGCCTCGCTAAATTGCTGAGGCTGGCTCTGAATTCACCATCCTCCTGCCTCAGCTTCGCAGGCTGCTGGGATTACAGGCGTGCACCATGGTGCCTGGCCCTGGCCGGTGTCTGGTTTTGAATTGCATTGTTTTCTTTTGTTGTTGAACGCTAGGAGTTCTTTATATATTTTGGACACTAATCCCTTATCAGAGAGATGATTTACATCTTCATCAGTTCCTTTTAGAAGACATGAGGAAGGCCCAGTTTCAGGTCAGATAGAATAAGAATGCTCTGCTCTGGCTCCCCCACTGAATGCAGCCATGAAACCTGGGCAGAGTGTGTTTTGCAGAGCGGGAAGCAGAGGTTCATAGAGGTGGGTGACCACCTAGAGTCACTTAGTGTGTGGCCTGGCTGGTATATGAACCCTCTTGCTTTACAGACCAGTATCATCCCTGTTAACAGATTCCCTCTTTTTTCAGTAAGAATATCGAATTTTAAATAATACACTTTCACCAATAACACTGAATTTTTTTGTTTCAGTACTTCTGTTTCTTACCCTCCAAAAACATTATTTTTCCTGACTTAAAAAAGAATGCTAGACGTTTAAGCCAAACACAGCTTCAGACTTTATTTGGGATCCAGGTTTAACAAACTAACCATTAAAATGCATCACTTAGAAAACCAGGGGAAACTGACCTGGCCCATTAGGTGGTATTTTGAATGACTGCTCAGTTTGTTGGGTGTGAAACTCATATAGCAGTTAAGTTTCTTTTTTTTTTTTTAAGTTCTCTTCTGTTGGAGACACACACTGAAATATTGATGAAGAAAATGATGAGGTAGCTGGGATGGGTTTAAATAAACCAGCAGAGAAGAGACATGTTTAAATGCAACCAGACTGGTACAGTGGTAACTGGGAGATGGACACAGGGGGTTCCCAGTGCTAGAGTGTGTGCTTGAAGACTTCCATGCCGAGATATTTTAAAATGTAATGTTTATTGCAAAACATTTGAACACTTCTGAATTTAAAGTGTATAAGGTGAAAGTCCCGGTCATGTCATGTCTTCTGTTTATCAGATATTTTATACTCTTCCTGACTTTTTATGCTTAACCAGATGGAGCAGACTGCCAAGGAAACCCTCACTGGATGCATGCCTCCTTGCAATGAGGAATTTCCAACTCTTCCAGATGCTCTTGGGACTTGTCAGTGAAATGCGATGAGAATGCTGGGGTGTCTGTAGCAGGCCAAAGCCCCAAGAAGCCTCCTCCTCCAGCCCCCTCCACTGTCTCTCCTCTGCGAGTGGTCAGGGGACCCCAACTCCCTCCCTGCTCAGCCTGCACTGGCTCCAGCTCACTCGATGGAGGACAGCCATGGAGGAGAGGCAAGTCACTCAGTCCGGGCTAGTCAAGACAGCCTGCCCACAGCTGACCAGCAGCAACCACAACTGCACCAGTGAGGATGGCAGGGACGCCCTGTGGAACATCGTCCGGGAGGCCACAATGAAGAAGCGTCTTACTAACTTTTGGAGCAGTTGCCACACGGCCAAAGCTGAAGGCAACACCCCACACCCAGAGTGATGGTGAGCAGAGAAACACTACTAGTCTCACACACATCATTCCTTTATCAAAATGCTCCAGGACATTGGTAAGCAGCTGCTGGGCGAAGGCCCCTGAAGCCCCCTCACTTTTAAAACAGGGGCATGAGCGTGCCCAGGACTGTGGCTGAGTGTTTCCATCTCACTCTCTACGCCTTTCCCGGCTGCTCTTCCAGGTGAACCCTAAGCTACTAGGCCAGTCTTTTGAGGTGATGCCTGGTGTGGCCCCTTTTGCTCTCTTCCAAGCGCGGCTTCGGCCCAGGTGGACGAGGGCAGTGCTGTTCTTCCAGCTGTGTGTGAGTGGTCTTCCCTTTGCCAACAGTCTGCTCCAGCGCCACCCTCTCGGGCCCCCCCTCCCTGGCTGCAGCCACCCGCTTCATCTGTTCTCTCATCCTCCGACGGTGCTCAGAAATCAGGGGTGGGTTGGTCGCCGCTGGATTCCCCACCTCTGCAACAGTGCCCGGGGCACAGCTCGGATCTGTTGACCGAAGGACTCACTGCCCACCCCAGAGCTTCGTCCACTAGGCACCCACGTTCTAGGCACAGCCTCTGCCCCACCGCCAACAGCGAGGGGAAAAGTAGCTCAGGCCCTTCCTGACCCAAACCTCTCCTCCCGTTTACACACCGCCTCCTGTTCCTAGCGGCTTCACACCTGCCCCACCCGCTCCACCTCTGCACCTCTCCACCCTTCTGCAACACAGGGGATCCCTGCAAACACCCACCCACCTTTCCCAGCAGAGGCGAAACCCGACCACGCGACCCATCTTGCTGAGGCCTTCTGAGGCCTTTCCCAGATTTATCAGCCAAAGCCACCTCTGGCTGCAGGTGAACGCCATGCTCTGTGGGCCCCGCATGGCGTACGTGCGCTATAAGTGACACTAGTAGTAAGAGTCATGTGCACTGAGAGGGCCCAGACTATTAACCCGCCCCCTCCCCACCTGAGCGTAAGTGGAGCCTTGTGTAATGGGTGGGGCTGGGAGGGCGGGGCTAGAGCAGGGTGGGCAATCATGGGTGGGTCTCACGCGAGTGGGCGGGGCTGGCGGGGCGGGGCCTGGCGGGGCGGGGCCGGCGGGGCCGGGTGGCTGCCAGGCTCCCTGGGCAGGAGCTGCGGGTGCCGATGGCCCCCACGGTCAGCAGCCCCAAGCACAGCACGGATGACGGCGGTGAGTCGGGCTGGAGAGGCCGCAGCACCCAGGCTGGTTGTGCTTGGTTTCCCTGCAGGGGACCTGAGCGCCGCACGCCCAGCTGGTAGGCCTTGTGTGCCTTAGATTCTCTCCCGCTGCGTCTGGCCCGGGCATCTGGGAACCTAAGTCCTCACCGCGGCTTGATGCCAGCAAGAGCCAGCAGCCAGGCCCCTGGAGGCGCAGTCACCGGTGCCTCCGTGCGGGGTCCAGGGCTGGGACTGTCACCCAGCTGCAGGCGCTGTCACTTACCCCTTTGCAGGTGAGGAAACTGAAGCACACACAGAAAAGCACCACGCGGTGGGTGAGAAGCCCAGACGGCGCCCTTGGGCACCAGCACCCCTGACAGAGGGAGGAGGGCAGAGGGGTGAGGGATGCCGGCAGCCTCAAACGGGTCCTGCCACCCAGGCCGCCACGGGGTGTGGGCGGGTGTGTGGAGATTGCCAAGACTGTGCCCCGGTCCTGGCGCGGGCAGCGAGGCCATTCACCATCCAACTGAACTCCAGATCTCACGTCTACACATGTGAATGTCTCCAAGATCAAGATGCCCATCAGCACTAAGGACGGGCCTCCTGCAGTTGGTGGATTTTTTCCTTCAGGGTCATGACCACGCGGCCGCGTGATGGCTGGACCCTGGGTATAGCAGCAGCTCAGTTCCCACAGGAACCTATCTATACCCATGACGTCCCTGGGGGATAGTCACTCAGTAAGACGGGAAGAACCTGTGTCCTGAATGGCCCGTGGAGCAGAGCTGCCACTGCCCTGCGCCTTCAGCCTCCCAGGAGGTGTGTGACAGAAACAGGAGAGCCAATCAGGGGAGACGGAGAGCCCCAAGCCGGAGGGTATAGTGAGCGGTGCTCTGTGACCTGGGGGGTGCCACTATGTTCTCATTTTCAAGCCGAGGAATCCAAAGCCCAGGAGTTACACAGGACACGGTGGGGTTATGAGGCTGGCGAGGAGCCACTTCCCCTGGGCTCTATCCCACCACACTTTGCCTTTTGGTCCCACAATGTCTTGGGCACGTGCCACTGTGGGACAGCAACATGTCAGTATCCCCATTCTCTCCCACCTCTGTGAAGGGCTGGGGCGTCCTGCTCGGCAGCAGAAGTGTGGGTGCAATGTCAGCCACCAGGACACGCAGGCGCCCCTGCGGCCCCTGCCCCACCTCCTGGCTAACACACAGGGAACAGACATGGCGATGGCCTCCAAGAGACATGTGCAGTGAGAACCACGCTCATGAGGCAGTCAGCGGGAGGAGTCCTCCTGGATTCTTGCTGACCCAGGCAGATGACCAGGTCATATTCTCCACACTGCCACTCGTCTCCCCTACTGTGATGTGGAGGGACTGACCTGGACACCCACATCAAGGGTAGACAGTGGCATTGATACCATCCTTCACTAGAGCTATTTGGGAGTGCGGAAAGGGCCCAGATCTGCTCTTACCAGCACACGCCACCTCTGTGCAGAGGTCAGTTCATGGGTGAACCCAACAGAAGGAAGCTTAGGATTTCTTCCCCCAAAGACTGGAAGAAGTCTTCTCTCTCCATCAGGATGCGGCCGAGGGGCTGCTGCGAACGGCAAGGTCCCACAGGAAGTCATGGGGGATGCCAACTCATGAAGGAGAGCCAGAGACTCAGACAGCAAGGGCTCCACCACCGAGTGCCTGGACCAAGCCCACCGGACACTCGACCAGCTTCCAGCTGGAAAACGGTCCAGCTTGCTTATACGTGCCAGGAGGGCACTTTCCCCCACTCGCCTTACAAAGTGTACTTGTGATACCAAAGTGACCTTTAAATGACTTTTTTATTCTTCATATACACCAGTATCAAAAAGTGGGAATCATCAGAAATTCCAGGGCGTTCAGAACCAGTTCTATCAATGTCAGTATTAAAAGGTGGCCTAAAGGCCCCAGAGAAAGCCTGTGGGGTGCTGGGCCCCCCAGGTGCAGGCAGAGCTTCCAGTCAGCCAGGAGGTGCAGTACAAGGTCCAGCAAACCTGGGTGTCGGTGTCCCTCACATTCATGGTGGGACCACATGAAGAAGTGGCCTCTGGGAGGAGGGGTCCTAGGGGCAGAGCCCCTGTAAGAGGCCCAAGGAGCACAGGGAAGACACACAGAGGCAGTCTATAAAGAATGGGCCTCTTCAGGCACCAAACCTGCGGGCACCTTGGCCCTCCCAGCTCCAGGACTGTTGTAGGCAGTGCTGTGCCACTGCACATGGCTACCCAGCGGAGGGCTCTTCCTGTGACAGCAGGAATGGGCTCGGCACTTACCTTCAAGCCTAGCTGCTAAAATAACTGCAGGAACAGTCTGCTGAAGTGCATGCCTCCCTGAACCCCACAGGGACCTGAACCTGGCGCAGCCTTGGTTCCCTCCCTCCCACTCTCCCCTCCATCTCCGAAGTCGACTTTGACACAGGACTGGCATCCTATCTCTTACACTTAAAAGATCACTTAAAATGACCTAGTCTCCCTTAATCAAAAGCTTTATTTTTAAAAATCCTAACAGACGACTCTAACTTTGGCATTCAAAGCAGGTATTGTTATTTGCTAACTACGGCATGGGGACCTTCCCTCCCTTACCAAGAACTGGGATCCAGCAGGACAGGACGGACTGCGAGTGGGAAGGACCTTTAACCCATGGAGAAAACTGAGATGGGACAAACTGATATCTGGATTCAGGGCACGCATGACAAAGGGAGTAAGAGCCCAGTCTTCACCCTCCTCCCACCTGCCCCTTAGTCCTGCTGACATGCAGCCCCGAGACACTGCCATTTGCCAAGCTCCTGTGGTATTCACACATAGGACTGGGCCCCCGGCCTAAGTTCCATTACTAACTGGACCTCAGAAACCTTACAAAGTCCCCAAATACACCAGGTATCCAGGGACTTGCTTACCTTCCTAGGAGGGCATGTTGGAGCAAAAAGCCTTCCAAGGATGCCCACATTCCTGGGCCTCCTGGGGTCAGTCATCATGTGCTCCAAAGACAGAACGGCCCCACTGACCTGCACGGCGCAGCCCACCCACCTGGTGTCCACCGCTGAGCTCAGGTGTGGATTCGCAGGTGCCGGGTCAGGTTCGTGTTGCGGCTGAAGGTCTTCCCACACTCGGCGCAGCGGTAGGGCTTCTCGCCGGTGTGGATGCGCAGGTGCACCGTCAGCGAGGAGTTCTTGATGAAGGACTTCCCGCACTGCGCGCAGCGGTAGGGCTTCTCGCCCGTGTGGATGCGCTGGTGCTCTATCAGGTACGCGCTCTGGCTGAAGGCCTTGCCGCAGTCACTGCACTTGTAGGGACGCTCGCCGGTGTGCACGATCTGGTGCACGACAAGCGACGAGCGCCCGGTGAAGTGCTTCTTGCAGACGTAGCACTCGTAGGGCTTCTCGCCCGTGTGGATGCGCTGGTGCTGCGCGAGCGCCGAGTTCTTGCTGAAGGCCTTGCCGCACTGCGCGCACTCGAAGGGCTTCACTCCGATGTGGAACCTCTGGTGCTGGATGAGGTAGGAGCTCTGGCTGAAGGCCTTGCCGCACTCGTTGCACACGTACGGCTTCTCGCCAGTGTGATTCCTCTGGTGCAAGGTAAGCGAGGAGCTCTTGTTGAAGGCCTTGCCACAATCTTTGCACGCGTACGGCTTCTCTCCCGTGTGCGTGCGCCGGTGCTCTGTCAGATGCATATTCTGGCTGAAGGCCTTGCCACACAAGGGACACACGTATGGCTTCTCGCCCGTGTGCGTGCGCTGGTGCACAATCAGGTGCATGTTCTGGCTGAAGGCCTTGCCGCAGTCCCCGCACGCGTAGGGCTTCTCGCCCGTGTGGATGCGCTCATGCTGCGTGAGGGACGAGGTCTTGCGGAAGGCCTTGCCGCACACACGGCACGCGTAGGGCTTCTCGCCCGTGTGCGTGCGCTGGTGCACTACGAGGTTCATGCGCTGGCTGAAGGCCTTGCCGCAGTCCCCGCACGTGTAGGGCTTCTCCCCCGTGTGCACGCGCCGGTGGATGGTGAGGGACGAGCGCTCAATGAAGGGCTTTCCGCACACGTCACAGCGGAAGGGCTTCTCGCCCGTGTGGATGCGCAGGTGCTTTACGAGGGACGAACTCCGACCGAAGGCCTTGCCGCACTCCCGGCAGTCGTAGGATGCCAGGCGCTTGCCAGGGTCTGAACCGCTGGGGCGCTCCCCACGCACCCCAAACAGGCAGGCCCCCTGCTCCGCGGGCACCTCCAGCGGTAGCGGGTCAGGGGTGCCGCTCTGCGTGGTAGAGGCCTTGAACTCACGGCCCTCAGAGACAAAGCCCTCTGCCAGGCTGCTGCCCTGGTCAGTGGGCCGCCGCTGCCCGCGAGACCCCATACCCCAGCTGCCCCGCGTGCACGCTCCTGCCCAGGCGCAGGTCCTCTCAGGCCCTCCCAAGGCTGCCCTGGCAGGTGCCTTGCCCTCTACAGTGTCGTCCTTAGCATCCAACTCCTTCATTTCAGGTCTAGTCCCCCAGTCTGGAAAAACAAAACAAAACGACAAAAACAGAAGCAGTCAGCGATGCTGCGTGAGGAACATCCACAGCGGGACTGGGCAACGGAGCCCCAAGACGCTGGCAAGGCAGGGCCGGGCGAGAAATCACGCGCTGGGATCTGGGAGAGCGAGCGAGCGGGGAAGCAGGGTGCGGGTGCGTGTGGCTGAAGGACCGAGGGGGCAAAAAACGCCCCTTCTGGGAGGGAGAAGGGCGGCTGTGAGCTCCGGAGTCGCACTGAGGCTTGGACGCGATTGGCACGCGGGAGGGCAGCCGAGGCTGCGCGCAGGCTCCACCCTCGCCCAGTGCGCCCGAGCCTCGGCGCTCGCTCGTACTAAAGTGTCCACAGGTGACGCGTGCTGGTGACTCTGCTCCTCACCTGCCTCCCGTCTGACCTGCCACCGGCTTCTGGGTGTCAGGCAAAGGGAGAAATTGGCAGCGTTGGCGGCGAAGTGGGGTGCTCGGGGTGCCACCCTCACCCTGCAGGGTGCAGGCCACTCCTGCGTTCCACCCGTGGTCTCCGCAGCCCTGGGGGCGCCCCCACCCCCACGTCCCCTCTGAGCGTCTGACGCTCCTTCTCTCCTGTGAGCCTAACAAGAAAACGACCCCTGCAGGAGCCTCAGTCAGCGGCTGCAGGTGTCGCCCGCAGGAGGCGCCTGGCAGGAGGCTGCGGCCACAGCGTCGCCGGGGTGGGAGCAGCTGCGGGTATCAGGTCCCAAGACCAGACAGTTCTCCAGGTGGATGGTGGCGATGTCTGCACTACAGAGTGAACGAACCTAATGATATTAAACCACACTTAAAAATGATCAAAATTGTAAGTTTTATGTATATTTTATCACAATTTTTAAGTATATTCTTAGAGACTTAGCAGTCGTCCTTGCTGCTCCCCTTTCCTCCCACCACCGGTGTAAGTGCCACTGCATGCACAACTGGCGCCAGTGGGGCCAGAGCTCCTGCAGCCACCACAGGTTCTCACCCAAAGAGCGACCCACAGGCTCCCCACCCTCCCAACGCGGCCTCCTCTTCACGCACCTCCATCCTGGGGACACCAGATCAGACCCAACACACTGGCAATGGAGTCGGGGCCTGCCGGTGGCCTGTGGACTCCCCAGGCCTGCCCCCCCCCCATGAACTGCCCATCCTTCGTGTGTGTGGGGGGGTCCTGGGGATTGAACCCAGGGGTGCTCTACCACAGAGCCACATCCCCAGTCCCTTTTATGTTTTACATTGAGATGGGTTCACTGAGATGCCCAGGCTGGCCTGAACTTGTGGTTCTCCTGCCCCCGCTGCCCAGGAGCAGGGCTGCCCTTGGGTCTCCAGGGGTACAGGTGGGCCCCACCACACCCATTTCTTGTCCCTTTCTATCCCCTGCCCATGCTCTACAAATTACAAAAGAAAACTCAGAATGAAGCCTTCAGGGCCTTGGGAAAAGATATCTTAGATTTGACACCAAAAATACTATCCATAAAAGAAAAAACGTTGATACACTGGAGTTCACCAAGTTAAAGACCTCTCTGCTCTTCAACAAACGCTGGGCACCAGGTGCCCACACAAAGGAACAATTTGGACCCTTTCCTACACCGCTCATAAAAATGAATCCCCAGTGGATCCCAGACCTAAGGAAGAGCTAAAACAGAACTTGAGAAGAATATAGGAGTTGACCCCCTGCAACACTCTGCCACCAAAAGCACAAATACAACAAAACAGATAAACGGGACTAGAAATTATGGAAATCAGAAATTAGATGGTAGGCCAGTCTACCCCAAAACCATCATGGAAATTAGAAACTGTGTTTCAAATGACACCATCAAGAAAGGGAAAAGAGAGCCCCCAGAAGGCGGGGAGATGTTTGCCCAGCACACCTGCTCAAAGACTTGCACCAGGAACGGGAACTCTCAAAACTCCGCCATGACCTAACTGATTTGAAAGGGAGCATGCCCCAGGCTTGAGGCCTGACAGAGATAACACACAAGGCACGGGACACAGGGAAGACTGTCGACTCCAGATGAGGGCCAGGGCGATGAGGCCACCCATCTGTGTGGAAAGCCAGGCCGGAAAAGGGCAAGGCTGGTGGACCTGGACCTGAGCCCAGGCCCTGGACACGCATGCTCTCTGGGGCTTTGTGCATGACAGAGTGAACTGGAAACAGTCCGAATACTCAACAAGTGGCTGGGTAGACAAACCGCAGGTGCCCACACGGTGGCATGATGCACGGCGAGGAGGAGAAACAGACTGCTGAGACACACGGCCACTTGGGAGCATCATGAGCACCACCACCAGGTCAGGGAACCGGACACGAAGGTGCACGCCCTGTGGCTGTGTGTGCACAGAATCAAGGACACGCGGAGACACTACAGGGACCAAACCCCGGCCACAGGAGAGGGCCGGGAGGCAGGAGTGATCTCCAAGGGCAACAAGGGTGGTGGTGGACATGCTGTCCTGTCATGGCCCTGGTGGCACTGTGCACTGCACGTATGTGCTGTGAATCGCAGGCCAGTCGTAGCCCAAAACCATCCACGAAGGAGACAGGACCACTCCAGGTGCGGGTGGGGCTCCCTCCACAGGGCAATGCCCAGACTGTGCAATGTGGCCGATGACTAGGTCTTGTCCTTTGGTTTTTTTCCCACACACTTCCCCCACTTATGGAAGGGGCCTGAAGGACAGACCTTAAAAGTGGACTGTTAAAAATGTGACTTACTGATACCAACTGTCCTCCAAGAGACTTGCCAGACTGCACTCCTGAAGTGGGTCTCTGGCCCCAAACCCTCGTGAGGCAGACGTCTTTCTCATTGATCTTAGTGTATTCCAAAAGGATGATCTCTCAATTTGTAAACTTCTATCAGGAAAGTGTTTTGAAACTTCAGGCTGTGACCTGTGTGTCACCTTGTGTGTCTGTGAACTGCCAGCTCCTGTCAGTGTGGTCTGATTACCTATCTCTCACTTAGTCTTTCTGCCCTTTGTTCCCAGGGGTCGTTGATGGATCATGACCCCTTGGTTATACATGTGAAGAAATCATCCTCATGTCACCTACCAACCTGACTTTGAGCCTCAAGCCATGACAGGACCAGGAACGTACCCTCTGTGCCAGCTCCTCAGCTGCACCTTCTAGCGGCCCCACACCCTTCCTGGCAGGATCCTTTTCCTGTGACTTTGTGGTCCTGTTATGGGCTGCAGGGGACGCCACAGTACCACCCTGACCCAGAGAGACCAGGGTCCTGTAGTTCTGCAGCGTGACATCCCTGTGCAGGTCCTTCTGGGCAGGCTCCAGCTGCTGCCACTCCTCCTGGGTGAAGTCCACAGTCAGGTCCCTGAGTGTCACTGACTCCTGCAGACAGACCCGCACCACTCACCGCCAGGCCCTCCTCACAGAGCTCTGGAGGTGTGGCGGGAAACACCGGCAGGATTTAGGGATGTCTGTGAAGCCAGGGGCAGACAGGGAGGAGGGACAGGTGCCTCCCGGGCAGGCGGGTGACCAGGGTCTGGAGATGCGGCCACAGGGGGCTGAGCAGAGCTCTGAAGCACCTCATAAGGGTGGCTTTAGGGTGAGGCTGCGCACAGTCTGGAGAGCTGGGGGGCTTCTGGAAGAGGGTCCATGGAGCCGAGCTGGGCCCTAGCAGGTGGTCAGGCGGCTGGGGTGGGGAGCAGTCCTTGAGGCACAGGCTGGAACCATGAGACCACGCCACAGCGGAGCAGCAGATGGTGGCAGAAGGGTCACAGAGCAGTGGCCCTCACTTCCTCCCAGCTGCTCGGTGCAGCCCTTCTGGGCGGTGTCATGGGTCAGATCAAGGGCTGTGCCCCAAACATTTGTAAGGGCACGTCCTGACTCCCCAGGGTCCTGACTGGACTGAGACACGGTGGCTGGGGAAGTGATCAGTCACGACGAGGTCATCCTGCAGCAGTAGCCCTGGCCGGCCATGATGCAGAACCCAGCCAAGATGGCAGCCATGTGCCACACGCATGCCACCCAGCCACAGGGACAGTGCCAGGGCAGACCCCTCCCCCGCCTTCAGAAGGGTGGAGTCCTGTGGGCAACTTGCCAGGGCGTCAGTCTCCGGGGTGGGAGGACAGCTCCTGATGGCCCTGTACAGCCACCCGGTAGATGGACACAGCACTTCCCACGCTGACCCACTCACTAATTCAGGCAGGCCCCTAGACAGCCACGGCGGCCTGTCACCTCTCGTGACCTCTCCCAGCCCCTTCCTGCCTGCCCCAGCACTCCTGGTTCCCCACGGCCCGCTGGGCCCTGCCAGGAGCAGGTGCTGCAGAGAGCTGGCAGGTGCAGGGGGCGGCCGGCGCAGAGGGGCAGACCCTGCGCGGTTGAGATGTGAGGCGCCCCCACGAGCGGTGTGGGGGGAGAGGCTGGGTCGTGAGCTGCCCACCTGACCGGGCATCAGTCCCCTGGCGGGGTTAGCATGTAACTGGAGGTGGCCGGGCTGTGGCTGGAGGAGGTGTCCTGGGGGCTGTGCCTTGGGGCGTTTATCTTGTCGTGGAGAGGAGAGCTCTCTCTGTTTCCTGGTGCCGTGTCCTCAGATGCCCTCCTGCACACGCACTCTGTCCTGATGTTCTGCCTCACCTCAGGCCCAGGGAACACAGGTGGCCATCTATGGACTAAAAGACTCTGAAATTGTGAGCCCCCAAATAAACTCTTCCTCCTCTGTTTTTCTCGGGTCTTTTGGTCCCAGCAGCAAAAAGCTGACTAAAACAGCCCCTCCTCTGGTCACACGGCAGCTAGTGGACACCAGGCATGGAAATCCAGGGCTGGATCCCGAGCCCGGATCCTAATGCCTCTCGGGAACCAGCGAGAGGGCGGATGGGAAAATTTGGGAGTGTCCAGGCACAACGTCCGCATCCCGACGGGACCCCAACCCTGCCCGCCTGCCCTGCACCTCACCTGCTGCTCCTCTGCCTCGGCGCTCTCCCCTCCTCAGCCCAGCCAGCCCCTTCCCCTCCTTGCCGGGACCTGACTCTGGACCTCAGGGGGCACCC